AAAGACATAACCCACAAACCTTGTACCACGATTGTAACATCCTCACCATTGTGTCACCACTGTAAACTCAACCTGTAACCCTAGAACCATGTCCACCTCCCTATTCATCCTCTCCATGACAAAACTGCAACGAGGAGGGCATTCCCATGCCCAACCTCCTGCTGCCCGCTCCCACCAGTCCACTGGGTGGTCGAGTGGTTACTCCCATCCTACCAGAAGTTCCCTATCAGGAACTGTAGCTGATCCCACCTCCTCAGGAGAAGGATACGGTCCAGGCAGCTCCAGGATGCCTGGCCACGCACCCGCAGGTCCCACTTCCCACGGTCACCCACTACCGTGCACTGGTCCACCAGCCCGCTTTCCCTAACAACTCCCGCTACCGGTACGCTCCCATGAGCGCCAAGTCACCGATAGCCACCAACTGGGTGACTCCCTTTGGGAGTCCCAGTATCCCTCACTACCGGTACGCTCCATTGAGTGCCAAGTCACCGCTAGCCAAACACTCCCAGCACACCTGCTACCGGCACGCTCCCAGGAGTGCCAAGTCCCTGTTAGCAGACAGCCAGGTGGCTCCCTCAAGGAGCCCACATCATACTTGCTACCAGTACGCTCCCAGGAGCGCCAAGTTACCGTTGGCCGACACACAGGTTGTACTTCCATACACTCATCCTATTCTGCTCTCCCTCCAATGGCTACACAGCCACCTCCATTAGTGAGCCGAACGGCTCAGGTTGGGTTCCCCAGAACCCATTCCTGTAACAGCCATCAAGAAAACAAGAGTAAATAAGGAATGAATGTAGGCCCGTTGCAGGCCATGAAAAAGGTAATAATGACAGGGGAGGGTGACAGGCTTGTCCAGGCAGCATCAGGCAGGGAGTGGAGTAGACGGGGTAGAAGTGGAGGTGGGAGAAGGAGTGGGGAGTGAGCACCTGACCATGGGAATTGCCAGATTGTGATACCCTATCCCTGTCTGCTCCAATAGCCACCTTTGGACCTGACACCACTGTCCTCTCCTCCCTCTGCTCCTTCCGTCCCTCTTCCATCAACCTCTGCCAAGTTATGACCTTCTGCTGCCATCCCATACCCCATACTCAGACACCACTCATACCTTCACTCTGAGATCCCATCATGGTCCTGACCTCGGACTTTGACTCCACCTTGGCTTAAGTCCACTGCATTGGTGACCTCATTTCACGTAAACACCATTGCCAATATTCCTCAGACTTCCAACCCCACCTCTGCAAGCTCTGCTACCCCCGAGCTTCATGGACCATCCTCAGCACCTTCACTGCTTGTACTGTATATCTTGCACTTCTCCCTCACCCTTATTTGGACTACTGCTTCTTTACATTTAGCCAGTTAGTCACCAACCCCACTTCACCTCATCCTCCTGCTGTCAGGCACACCCGCCTGACCCACTCCATCCGGTCCGACCCCACCTGATTCCACTACCCTCACCTGCTACCCCCATCCTCTCTCCTCCCTTCTCTCCCTCTCCTTTCCCCTTCCTCCTTCTTCTTCTTTCCTTTCTTTCTCCTTCTTTCCTTTTCTATTACATGGATGACTTCCTTGCTCGATGTACCATTAACCAGACTGCACAACACGCCCAGACCCAGACACACCGAGTGACGCCCTACACACCGGATGCCCCTGAGACCTCTTACAGAGATGCCCAGGCGGACACGGCTGTGCGTGTAGATGACGTGGCACTCCCCACATGACCTCCAACCACATGTACATAAACACAGCCTAAGTGGGAACTGAGAAGTAACCTTCTTCTCACACTTCCCACTTTAGCCTAAGTGGCCAAGGACCCTTGTTTGCTTCGGGCCCGTTGTTACGCACGCCTGCGCTGCACCCTACCGGCCCTCAGCCCAGGTGATATACCTGGACGCTCTCGACCCTGGGTCGGTCCCTGACACCTGCCCCTCTGGGCTTCACCCTCCTTACCTCCTTTCAGATGTGCCATAGCATCTAACCCTTGACCCTTGGCACCACTCCATTTCTGTAATTCCCTTTGTCTCTGTTTGGACGCCTTTGTTCTGTTTCAGACCACCATTGTTTCCTCGTGCTTTCTTCTCTCTATTATATGTAGGTGCTTGTACATACTCGATTGACCCCCAGTCTAAAATCAACTAGAAATGCCCCCTAGAGACTTCCTCTTTGCTATGTCTGAAATTAAGGACCAACAGGATGAACAGCAATGGCACAGCGCTCCCCTTGAGTTGCTGAGGCCAAGGTCCCTCCTTGCTAAGCCTCCAGTTCCACTCCAGAATCATCCACTCTTGCCCCATTCTAACAGACCCCCTTGGCACTTTTGCTGCTTGTATTCTATACTTCACACTTCTCCCTCACCCTTATTTGGACTACTGCTTCTTTCTATTTAGCCAGTTAGTCATCCACCCCACTTCCCCTCATCCTCCTGCCCCTCTGGGCCCTCACCCTCCTTACCTCCTTTCAGACACACCATAGAGTCTAACCCTTGACCCTCAGTGTAGTTCCCCAACTGTATTTCCCTTTGTTTCCATTTGGACACCTTTGTTCTGTTTCAGACTCCCTTTGTTTCTTGTACTTCTGTCTCCCCTTTATATATAGACGATGTACATACTTGTTTGCCCCTCAGTCTGAAATTGACTAGAATGCCCCCTAGAGACTCTCCCCTCACTATGTCTGAAATTAAGGACTAACAGGACAACCAGCAATGGCACAGCACTGTAGGCAGGCTGTAAGGAGTGGAGGCAACACTTGCCCCATCCTTCATTCTATATCTTTATCGTATATTTGTTGCATAATAAATATGTATAAACACTGTATATATGGAAGTGTGGGAATGTTGCAAGGGTGGATTAGCCTTTACTTCCTCATTGAAAATACAGCCCATTATAGCGTATTCAATGGTCTGGAAGTGTGAGGCAAACATAATATCGTGCATATAGCGCGATTAAGTAAATAACTTACACAGCACAGCTGGTACGATGCAAACAAGCCGATTATTGCGATTCTACCACCCATGTCAAGCACCCCACTTCCAAAACACATCTACCACTGTTTCAAATACCCCTTCCATGTTTCCCATATTTCTTTCCGATTTTTTTAAGCCATTCCTGACCACGGACAACCATCAGTTTCCAAATTGGGCAACTGTCACCCGCATATTCCACTGCTTCCTCTGTATCTCCATCAATTCTCCACCAATCTGGACGAATTTGGTACCGTTGGAAAGCCCTTGTCAACACGAGTCGAACGATGTTACGAGTGACGCATTTGGTTCAGCGGTTGTTCCGATTGCCATGTTTCTTTATTTCCTTAACAACATCAATATTTCTTTGATATTACTTTTTTCTTATTTGTTCCTTGTGGATCTGTTGCCATCCTAAACCTGTCAGATCTTTCGGATTTCCATGCATACTTTTTTCATATTTATAACTGCCTCTTTCCTGTATTTACAAAGAGGACTCCCCCAACAGAGAGAGGTGCTGTTAGATCATGTGGATTCGGACGACTCCAGAGTGGAATCAGAGACTTAGTGTGGAAGGACCTTGGCCTCAGCAACTCATGTGGAGTGCTGTGCCATTGCTGGTTGTCCTAGGGGTCCCTAATTTCGGATCTAGCAGAGGGGAAGTCTCTTGGGGGGGAATCAAGTTGATTTCAGACTGAGGTTACAAGTTACTAAGTACATTGTATATAAGGAGGGGCCCAGAATCAAAAGGGACAAGGGTAGGATGAAAGGAGACAAAGGGAGCTGGAAGGAGGAACAACACTGAGGGTCAAGGGTTTGACTCAATGGTGTTTCCCAAAGGAGGAGTGAAGGGCCAAGGCCCAAGGAGGAAGGAAGGAGGATGGGAGTGGGGAATGGCCAGCTGACTGAATAGAAAGGAAGCAGCAGCCCAAATAGGAATGAGGGAGAATAGCAGAATTGAATGGAGCAATGCAATAGTTGCAAGGTCTGACGTAAGTCTGGAAAGTCCGAACTCGGAAGTTAAACTCCGGAATATTGGCAAACATAATTAAATGGAATGAGCTAACCAATACAATGGGTATAAGTGGAGGTGGGGTCAAAGTCCAAGGTCGGAGCTAAGACCGGAGGTTCCAGAGATGGAGATGTGAATGGGATTCCGGAGCGGAGGTCCGGAGTCAGGAGCATAGGTGTTGCATGCTCATCTGGAAGGTGTTGAGGTTGAGGTCGGACCCAGAATGTTCCGGAGTCAGACCAAAGGTGGTGTCAGAGCCAGAGGTGGGATAACCTCTTGGGAGTCGGCAAGGAGAAGGTGACGGAAGGGAAGTAGGGCTCCAGAGTAGTTTCGGAGTTCCGGAGCCGGAGCGGAGGTCAGGATTGTATGGATATGACAGGTGCTCCCCAACAGACATGAAGTTCTAGCAGATGTTACCAGTGCCCAGAGTGGCAAATACGAAGCCAAAGAGCTCAAGATATAGTGCAGGGACAGAGTTCCATCAGTTTGATTATTAGTGAGATTTATGAGTTTATCTTTTTATCACATCGCACCTGGACCATTTCTCCCCCCCCCCCTTCCTCTTCATCCAAACCTCCCCTGAGCACTCCCAACTCTGTGGCCCCCTCTCTTTCTCATTAGGGTGGTAGATCCCTTGCCCCCTTACAGTGCTCCCCTTGAGTCACTGAGGCCAAGGTCCCTCCTTGATAAGTCTCCGGTTCCATTCTGGAATCATCTGAACTCACCATATCTAACACTGCTAGGCAGTGTTCACAAATGTCAGGAAGAGGGGAGGTGGCAGGGGAAGTTTCAATGTTCGGGTCCTTTCCATATTTCCCAGAGATGAGTTGCTTACAACAAAGTTAGCAGATGGAAATGATCTTGATTTCGAGTCATATGTACTATTTTAGTTACATTTTTCTCTTTTCTCTTCTCTACTTCTTTGTTTGAGAGGTTGTGTTGGAAGGACAACCTCAAAGCCCACATTTATTAGTATATTTGTACCGACACCTTCTAATAATTAGTCAACAGTCACTCCGTTCCATCACCCTCAGATACAGTCCTTTCCACAGAAATTGACAGCAGCACCACAAGGTGCACCTACCTAATGGTGACAATAGTGATAAGATCGTACTTTAGAGAACCAGAATGGCCTCTCATTCTTTAGTGGTAATACATCAATCTCTCCAGTGTCTACTCGTTTGGTTTGATATTGGGTCATTTCGAGTTTGTTCCAACTGGCAATGTGACCCTTGTCAGGGAGAAGTATGGTGGTCACAGAAAGCTTACCGCCCGAGAGGTTTTGATCGCAGGGCTAAAGACATCTCAAATGCATATTTTGCAACATTGCCACCAGAGTCGAAAAGATCATGTATGAATACTTCGGAGCCAATTACGTGCCATCTTCCAGTGCAAAGGCCCTTGAAATGTAGATCAGAAAACCCAAGGTTTATCAGTAAAAATGGACCAAACCTACGGAGCGCACGATTGAGGTTTTTAGCTGTTGTACAACATCTGATGGATTATCCTCATTGGCAAGCAAGGACAGAACCGAACCATCCTGGAAAAAGCGGCTACATGGAACCCATTACCAGTCAGAAATCCTAACCTCAGGAATAACATGCCGCACAGATATCGATGGTAGGTGACAAGATGGCTGACATTGACCCAAGCATTGTCACTGAACCCAGGTCGCCTTCGCAGGTGATTCGGGCAAGCTTTGATCAACTATGTCAGGAACAGAGAAGTTCTGTGCTCACACGTCTATTGTGTTAATGTGAGAATTGAATTTTTTGGGTAAGTACGGCACTGTTACATACAATGGCACACTGCAATGTAAACTCCATCAAAACGTACCCGAGGGTGCAAAATGAGGGTGCGTCTATAGTCATTCCCATATGATGAATTGACAATCTCGGCAATGATGGCGTGTTTAGGAATTTGGGGTGGCTGATACAGTAGTCGGACGATATCGCTAGGGTATCATGCTCAACGAAAAGTAATGTCAGGCTAATCCCAACCCATACCGCCATAAGGAATTATCCATTGTGAGCACGCGGGCTTTCTTGCAAACAGCACCAAACCTCTCTAGAGCCGTATAATTGCAAGTCAAGGAGAAAAACCGAAGGATGTAAACGAGGAGCTCGGTTGGCAAGTGTTGTATCGGAACTGGCAAGTTCTCCACTAGAGGGGCAAAGCTGATGCTCTCGGAAATAGACGAGGTTGTAAGGACACCTCTAGCGATTGAAGCTGGGTTGTGGGGAGCGCTAGCGACAAGCTCAGTGGTCGCTTGGGGTGCCTTACGCAGGGAAAGCAGGTAATCTCCGGAAGAAAACACTCGATCCACGTTCGAATCGAGTCTGAAAGCCATTCTGTATAACCGAAGTGCATCATCCAAGGACCCTTCAGCTTCTGCGATAACGGCTTGTCTGTACACTTTCTACCGACACAGCATTGAGTGTCCCAGTCCTCGCTCATGGAATTTACTTACCAGTGCATTTCCAGTAATGAGGGCATGATGGGGAAGAGCCGGATTGTCTTCCGTGTGAGTGAACGAGCCCCTACTTGATTGGCTGTCTTGGGGGGTCCCGCGGATGGCCGCGGATTTGTGTCTTATTTCAGCCAACCACTCAGATCTGAACCGCTCAAGTTCGTCGTTATCAATGGTATCCATGTTGGAGATGAGGACGAAAGCCGTTAAGGGAATCGAGTTAAAGGCATCTGCCGATCTGTGGTATGAAACAGGGGAAATCCGGATCATTAGAGGGCGAGCTTTGAACTGAGTTCTATTCACATTCTCTGTGACGAGTAGTCGAGCGCGCGCTTGGGATTGAACAGCAAGCATTTCAATTGATATTTAAACGACCACAGGCGTTTGCGCCGTGTTTCCCATCACCAAGTCAGAGCCAGTCATCCGCCTTGATCGCCAGCTACTTGCGGAGAGTGCTCACATTACAATACCCATTTCATAGGCGAAGAGACGGTCTAGAGATCGAAATCCAACACAAAAATTAAAGCTTGTCGACCATACCGCTGCACGCCATTGTATTCCGCCCCTCTAATGGATTCCGAACTCATTGGACTTGTGAACAAGTTGCAAGACATGTTTTCAAATTTGGGTAAGCCTGCTTGCGACACCATTGTGTGCTTTCCTGGATAAATGTACTCTTCAGGCGGGGAACTGGACATGCCACAACTAGTCGTGGTAAGTAGCCTCATCCACGCAACACCATAAATAGTATGCGCGACCTAATAAGTTATGAGGTTGGAAGTCAGTCTGCAGGGAAATCCAGCGTTTTGGAAACGTGGGTGTCATGTTCTAATGAATAACAACATCTTTTAATCTGTGCAAATACGTGTTTAGTATAGTTGGAAGGGACTTTCTGCCGCGCGGCCAGGGGATTGTTACTCGGCGTCCCCTCGTTCTTCAATTGGTCCATGTAACACCCCTATTATCCACCTTAGAGCGGGAGTATGCTCAATTTTTGCACTTGGACAAACGGTTCACGGATTTTGAGGATGTGCGCAGGGAAATAGAACAGGAAACCCTAAGAGTTGCGGGACAGAACAAAGGGATCTCAAAGCTCCCAATCAATTTGCGGATATGCAGCCCTGACGTCCTTGACCTCACCCTTGTGGATCTCCCTGGATTGACGAAGGTAGGAGGTGTGATTCCGAAGACAATCACTCTGATGATGAAAACTTCATGAATTTTGATGACAGATACCTGTGGGTGGGTAGTTTCAGACCTCCCTTTTGAAAATCGCTGACTCGATTCATTTCAATTGTGAAGGGGATCAGCCAAGCGATATTGAGCGACAGATTCGAAACTTGGTCATGGACTATATTGGCAAACCGAATAGCGTCATACTATCAGTGTCCCCAGCCAATGTCGATCTCGCAAACTCTGAGGCTCTCAAACTTGCGCGCGCCGTTGACCCTCAAGGACGGAGGACAATAGGGGTGCTGACGAAGCTAGATCTGATGGATGCGGGTACGAATGCCGTCGACATCCTGAATGGTCGCATCTATCCTCTGAGATTGGGATTCGTTGGGGTTGTAAACCGAAGTCAGCAAGACATTAATAATCGTCGAAGCATGAAAGATACACGTCAAGCCGAAGCTGATTTTTTTACGTCACATCCCGCCTACAGGGCTATTGCGCACCGCAATGGGTCCAAGTTCTTAACCAAAACTCTGAATCAGGTGTGCCCAATTGATACTATAATTATATCGCATTCCACGGAACATCTATTGCTCAGGTTTTAATGAACCATATACGTGAAAAACTGCCTGACATGAAGGCGCGATTAAACACCCTGATGAGCCAGACCCAACAAGAGCTCAATGCGTTGGGAGAGACGTATGCCAGTGACCAAGACAAGGTATGGAGGTTAGGTTTAGTTTGGCCGAGGTGTCTATTGACCCTCTTCCTTAGGGCAGCGGCCTGGTGTTGCAGCTTATGACGCAGTTTGCCCATAACTTCGTTTCCTCCATCGAAGGCACTTCTCTTGAAATTAGCACCAAGGAACTGCTCGGCGGGGCGCGAATATACTACATATTCAATGAAGTCTTCGGCCATGCACTCAATTCGATCGATTCGACCAGCAATCTTAGTTCGCGAGACATCCGGACAGCGATTAGGAATTCCACAGGCCCACGGCCGAGCCTCTTCGTCCCCGAAGTAGCCTTCGATCTTCTGGTGAAACCCCAAATAAAATTGTTGGAGGCCCCCAGTCTCAGATGTGTAGAGATGGTATACGAGGAATTGGTGAAAATCTGCCACAATTGCTCGAATCCAGTGAGCTTCGTTTCTCGCGGGAGTTCGAACTATGACCCACAGCCCTTCGCAGGAATTGCAACGTTTCCCTCGCCTCCATGCACAAATAATTGAAGTCGTATCAGAACTACTTCGGGAACGTCTAGGCCCGACATCTGAATACATTTCCAGTCTCATTGCCATTCAAGCTGCGTACATCAATATAAACCACCCCGCATTTGTTATGGAATCCCGTGCAAGAAGCACGGCGCCTCCAAACAAACAAGTGACTGATGTTTCTCGCAATGTGGGTTCAGGTTCTAGAGTGTGCTTAGCATTGTTCCTCACTAGTTTAGCCACCGCAGCCTGAGGCAATGGAGATGACAGTTATAGTAGATGAAGAAGAGCCAAGTGATTCCGACGGATCATTCCCAACCGGTGGGAAACGCCAACGATTTCCTAGAAATGCGGGGTGGGTACAAATCAAAGTTGCCCAACGACTGCTAACGTCTTCAATTCAATGCAGTCCCGAGGTAGAGAAGGATCAACGTCCTTCCTCAGAGCCGTTGGATCCTGCGATATCCCGCTTAACTCCCGGCTCTCGGACCCATGATGCTCTCAACTCGCCACGACGAGTGTCCAGTACTTCTCATTCGCAACTGGTCCGCGAGACTTTCCTGAACTACTTCTTTGGAGGGCAGACTCAATCCATTTCCGATCGAAACCCTCAGCTCGACCTCCTGACAATCTCCCCATGTTTTTTGACGGGACGCCCAGGAAACCTTCCACCACAGCACGAAGTACCCTGGATAATAGCATAACGCTGGACATGAAGAGCCTGGGTAAACATCTAGAGCCTGTAATTTTGCCGTTCATGATTGTTGTTGCTTCAAACTGATTTCTCTTGCTGGATTAACATCAGGCTTCACATGATGCAATAATTCAACTGTCTGCTCGAGAAGAAATGGAAGCAAATCTCATCCGCTCCTTGATTGGTTCGTACTTTCACATCGTGCGCCAATCAATACAAGACCTGGTCCCAAAGGCAATCATGCACTTTCTTGTCAACAACACCTCACAGCAGGTACAGAATCGACTGGTAGCGACATTGTACAAGCCTGAGCTCTTTTCGGAACTACTAGATGAAGATGAGGCATTGGTGAATGAGAGATCCAGAGTGAGGGCACTGCTTGAGGCTTATAAGGAGGCATTCAAAACCCTCTCGGAGGTTGCACTGAAGCCAAGCAGTGGAGCCACTGTGTTGTAGACTTTTTTTACCATCCTCTTTTGTCCCTTCATGTCTGCAGGAAGGCTCACATCTTGCAAGTGTGAGCTATGGGAGCTAATATAGGAGTCATATTTGATACTAGAAATGGCTGCTGTGCAGCCCTGACCTTGCTTGTGATAAGCCTTCTGCATGTGAGGTTAACTGCCACAACCAAACATTTTCTGCTGAATTGTTGATCTTTCCATCAAACTGGTAGGGTCTTTTTTCACCATTATGCTGAGGTTCTTTCTACCATTGCACAACTTTTATTAAGCTGTCATGGATGTTCTTTCCCCTCTTTTTGTTTGCCATGAGCACACTACATTAGTTATTACTAGAGTGCATGCTCCACATCGTGTTCACCTGCACAGCTTTTTATTCAGTTTACATTGGATGCTATGGTACAGGAAATTGATGAATGCATCATTGACTGAACATGGAACAAATGGGCCAATACATTGTACATGGAGAGGATTTTGACCTTGTGTCACACATATTCCTTGAGTGGGTGAAAGGAAATCAGATTTGTGTGCATAAATAATTGAAGATGGAGCTTACTGTCCCATTACGACCATTGGTTCAGTCACATGTCACAATGAGACTTTGAACAGATGAATGTATTGACAACTAATTCCCACAGGGTCCGGGAGTTGCCGGAAACAGCAAATCCATTCATTTTTTATTCAGTTCAATATTCTCACGTGATGTATGGCACATGTCACACTGAGGGATGAACTATGCAAGAAGGAGCTGGCAATCCCTGAAACCCATGGGAATGAACCTACAGTCATAATGGGACAGTATGCATTGCACATTTGGAGGGTGAAGCAGTAAGGTTGGCCATGTTGCTGAGTGGTTTAGGGCTATCACCAAGATAAGCAACCAGGTTGGTGTTTTGTTCTGTGAAATGCATTGTGCAATGATGTCATATCCCAGATCTTCCACCTCCCTCCACCCTATTCCTATATGACTCCTATGACTTCCACCAGCCCTCCCAATCTCTCTCTGCTACCTCCGGTCGATGCCAATGGCCCTAGGACTACCTCCTTTGACTCTCTCCTGCTCTGCCTCCCATCTACATCCACATCACCTCCAGACCTCTGCTACCACACCTCCACCTCCTCGGACCCCTTGTTCAAAGGAGATGGACCTGCTCGTTGTTGGTAAACCTCAACTTGCCTATCCACCCTCCTTCTTACTTCTGGTCTCCACACCTCCGGTACCTCTGGTACCTCCCCATTCCTACCTGACCTCCGGTCTTGATAATCTTTATTGTTTTATCATTTGATATTTTCTACAACCCTAATCTTCCGGACTACAACTTCTGGGCTCTGGACCTTTCTGGACGTCTCTCTCTGTAGTCCCCTGCTTATTCTTAGATGGTTCCAGGCCTTGCCATTCAGTTGGCTTTTAAGACTCCCACTCCACAAACCTCAGACCTAATTCAGGCTTTTCGCCTATCCCTTATTTGTCCTGTGGATTCTTTTCTATTTACTTCCCCTTCCCCTTGGTAACCTTTGTTTACCTTTGGATCCAAATTGCTCTGCTATATGTATGTGCAATACCCCTCCAGTAAAATAGTTCCCCCAGTTATAATATAAAAAAGTCTTCAGCCCTCGAATCCAAACCTCCTCTAGGATGTCTATCACATCCCACTTGTCTGCTACTCTACCCTGAACCAAGAGCTGAGTAACAGGTGTGTCTAAAGGCGCCTTGTGTCATATCCATACAATCCCAACCTCCGCTCCGGGCTCCTGGAACTCCGAACTCCAACTTCCAGAGTCCTACTTCCCTTCCGTCACTTTCTCCTTGCCAACTCCCAAGAGGTTATCCCACCTCTGGCTCGGACACCACCTTCGGTCCGACTCTGGAACATTCCAGGTCCGACCCCAACCTCGACACCTTCCAGATGAGTACGCAAAACCTATGCTCCCGACTCCGGACCTCTGCTCCGGAATCCCATTTGCGTCTCCGTCTCCGGAACCTCCGGTCTTAGCTCCGACCTCGGACTTTGACCCCACCTCCGCTTATACCCATTGTATTGGTTAGCTCATTCCATTTAATTATGTTTGCCAATATTCCGGAGTTTAACTTCCGAGTTCGGACTTTCTGGACTTACCTCGGACCTTGCAACTATTGCATTGTCCTATTCAATACCGCTATTCTCCCTCATTCCTATTTGGGCTGCTGCTTCCTTTCTATTCAGTCAGCTAGCCATTCCCCACTCCCAACCTCCTTCCTTCCTCCTTGGGCCTTGGCCCTTCCTTCCTCCTTTGGGAAACACCATTGAGTCAAACCCTTGACCCTTGGTGTTGTTCCTCTTTCCATCTCCCTTTGTCTCCTTTCGTCCTACCCTTGTTCCTTTTGATTCCAGACCCCTCCTTATATACAATGTACCTAGTAACTTGTAACCTCAGTCCGAAATTGACATGAATTCCCCCCAAGAGACTTTCCCTCTGCTAGATCCGAAATTAGGGACCCCCTAGGACAACCAGCAATGGCACAGCGCTCTGCCTGAGTCGCTGAGGCCGAGGTCCTTCCACGCTAAGTCTCCGATTCCATTCCAGAGTCGTCCGAATCCGCCCAGTTCTAACACCTTGGTATAAAACCCAAAAAGAATTGCATGATGAATGATTGACCCTTGCTAATGCCTCCATTGTTAAGTAGTGAGGGGGGGCTTCCAGCCCCCTTCTGCTGGCGGCCTTGGTTCCTCCATCACCAGCTCCCCTGACAAATTGGGGTCAACGAGAACGTAATGGGCCCAGCACTCCATTCCAAGTCGCTGAAGCTGAGTCCCTTCAACACCCCATCACCCTTGGAGCTCCACCCCACCTCCAGCCTGTCTCTGACCCACCGTCGGAAGACCCAGAACACTGAGCTCCACCAGACAGCGTCGCCTGGGCACCGATCAGACCTCTCCCCAGGAACATGTTTGTGACAGATGATGAAATTGCCCAGTTTCAGGTCATAGCTGTAGGCCTTGTTAGGAGTTGTAAGAACCTAGAGATTTTGCATCATATATTTGAGTGAAAGGTTTCTAAGCATGGGTTGAGTAGATTGTACATTATAAGTGGGGGGACAAACTTCAGTGAAAACAGTCATCAGGACACAGTCATAGCTGATGGTGATGTTCCTGTTTGGAAAGTTGAGATGCCAACCAGTGTAATGGAAGAGAAGGGAAGATGGATGACTCATAAAAGGATGAAGTTTTGCACATTGACCCAAGCTTGTCAAGTCAGAGGGATTAAGTCAAGGGTGTAGTTGTTGGTGTGTTGTTTGGCTCATTTCACAAACCTTGCAACAACCTATGAAACCGAAACAGATGTCTGATACATTAGTGAGATAATTCCTTGTTGAGATGGTTGAACATGTACAGACATCTTGGAAAGGAAATTAGAAAGGATTAAATGAATTCCACAGCATAACATACTCTTGTAAATCCTCAGGATAGAGTGGGTTGTTTTGGAAGATAGTGCTGGTGGGATAATTGAAAGCAAGTTGCCAGTCATCATCGCTGAGCCCATTGTTAGGGGAAGTGGTCAATCTAGTTGTGCAGAGGGGTGAGAGGCCACAGTATCTTTTTCTTTGTCATCATTTTTGTTGTCTGGAAATGTATAAATCATTAGGATGAGTGACTGTTAGATACAGTGAGTTCGGATGATTCTGGAATGGAATCGGAGACTTATTGTGGAAGGACCTTGGCCTCAGCGACTCAGGCAGAGCACTGTGCCATTGCTGGTTGTCCTGGGGGTCCCTAATTTTGGATCTAGTGAGGGGAAGTCTCTTAGGGGGCATTCTAGTCGATTTCAGACTGAGGTTACAAGTTACTAGGTACATTGTATATAAAGTCGGGGTCTGGAAGCAAAAGGAACAAGGGTAGGCTGGAAGTAGACAAAGGGAGCTGGAAGGGGGAACAACACCAAGGGTCAAGGGTTTGACTCAATGGTGTTTCCCAAAGGAGGAGTGAAGGGCCAAGGCCCAAGGAGGAAGGAAGGAGGAAGGGAGTGGGGAATGGCTAGCTGACTGAATAGAAAGAAGCAGCAGCCCAAATAGGGACGAGGGAGAATAGCAGAAATGAATGGGACAATGCAATAGTTGCAAGGTCCAAAGTAAGTCCGGAAAGTCTGAACTCAGAAGTTAAACTCCAGAATATTGGCAAAGGTAAATAAATGGAATTGGCTAACCAATACAATGGGTATAAGTGGAGGTGGGGTTAAAGTCCAAGATTGGAGCTGAGACCAGAGGTTCCAGAGTGGAGGTCCGGAGTCAGGAGTGTAGATGTTGCATGTGTCAGGGCATGCCCTGACATGCCCTGCCTGACCCCCGCTCCGCTTCCCCACTCCGCACCACATCTTCCTTCTTCCCTTCTTCTTTCTTTCTTTCTCTCTCTTACATGGACCACCTTTCCCACTGTTCAATGTATCACCAGGGCCCATGCCCATTTCCCCTCCTGTATCTTACCATCCCTATATTGCCATCACCACCACTGCACTCACCCTGCGCCTGCAATGGACCCTCTCAGGATCTCCTGCGGAGACACCTGGAGAGCCATGGCTGTGTGTGAGGGTGACATGGTGCACCCCATGTGATCGACCCCACATGTATATAATAACAGCTGGAGTGGGAACCAAAGAAGTATGTCAGGGCACACACCCTGACTAGCCGGACCCGGACCCACATCCAGACCCGCTTCCACCCACCATGCTTCCCGCACATGTGCACACTCTGCGTGCCGCATGCTCCAGGCCCGGTTCCTACCCCTTCATGTGACTTCTGGGTATCCCCGGAAGTTTTCCTGATATGGTGGCCACTGTGGGAAGATGAGAAGTTAGCTTCCTTCTCATCTTCTTACCCACAGTAGGTTGTGCCCTGGATAGGGCTGGTTACACCATAGGACTGTGGACCATAGGGGAGGGTCATGGGGACCTGGGAGTCATCCCCTGACAAAGTAGCCTTCTTCCCACATTCCCACTTCAGCAAGTAGTGTAGCCCTTTATGATACTCACATTCCCACTTCAGACTAAGTGGTTGGGGACACTCACCCCGTGACAGGACTGCCACTAGGCATAGCCACTATTCATCCCACCAAGTCCCACACACTGGGACCTTGCTGCTTTCGGAGCTGTCCCTGACAGCAGAAGAAGGCTTCAATCTCATCTCCCCCACCTCCCCCACCATAGTGACTGAAGAGCAGTACGATGAGCTGCTGTCCTGATTCCAAGAGCTCCAAGCCATCGTAGAGAGCCAAGCTCAAAACCAGCCCCCAGCCGCACCTGCACCAGCACCGGTTCCCACACCACACCTGCACCCGCCCCCAG